AAAAGTGCTTGCTGTACATTTTTGACTTGCGCTTCCGTTGATTTTGACAAATTTCGATCAAGATTTCTCAACCACTCATAAACAAAAATCGGCCTATTTTGTTCCGCAGTTTTGGAAAATGCAACCTCGTCTATTAACAACCCTGGATGCATTTCCATCGTGATTTTTGACTATGAAATCGCCTCGAGGGCGACTCACTAATCCACAAACCGGCTGCACCCAAAAACACCTTTTTGCTTTACCCGGTGCTCGTTAGGACATCAAGGTCAAAAACAATTTCATTGTTAAATTTTACTTGTCCATTCCAATGTTAAAAAAGTTACTCATTGTAATCGGGATTATCACAGGCTTAAAATTCAAATGTAGGTTTAAGCTTTATCCTTTTGCTAAGTCTTGGTGTTTCGACATACGCCTTGAATTTCTTAACATTTTAGTTGCGAAGACTTTTATGCCTTTTAATGCGGTTATGTCGCGCATCTACGTCAACTCGGTGTTTATGTCAATTCACTCTATTTTATTTTAGGGAAGTTTATGTGTGCATCTTTGAATTGCCCATTTTCTACATGCAACAGAACTGCGTAAAAAATTGCAGAAGATGAATACAGAATAATAACTAGAGAAGTATAGAAACTGTAGTGATAGACAAAGCACTTCGTGTGTTAGCAGCATTGGGAGACATTCACACACGTGGGTGCGTAATAAAGTAGTTGCTTGGAGCACATCTATGCTACAGGCGATGTCGCATGATCTGTGGTCTTAAAGCGTAGTGTTTAATGTCAGTAGAAATTTGCACAGAGGTTCGCCCTTTTATAAATTCTGCAAACAACAATTGCTTTAATATTTGTAGGTGTATCATAACGATAGTAATTATTCTCATAGGACATCATGACGGCAGAGGTTAGATGGCAATGTGGTGCATACTGCAATACTGATCCATTTTCTTTTTAAAAGTCTCAACGCATGCAGGCATAATCAAATGCGAAGCAAAGCATTCCAAGTTTAAGCACCCTTTAAGCGACTTCCATGTGTCCAGTCTCGCAAAAGTCACATGCAGTTTGTGTGGATGAACTAATAAGTTAGTCGTTGTTGCTAACTCGAAGGTGGTTTAAGGTGTGGCACATTAGTCCTGGCCCCATATAATTAAGAAGGTCTGTAAGAGGTCGCCCCGTAGCTGCCTGTAACTCAAATGAAAAGTATCCAGATTACTATAACCCTTTAGGTAGAGTAGTCCGCCCTGTTCAGTTATAAGATTGGTCTTACGCCGTTGACTTTTTGAGTGTGCTGAAGTCTTAAGCGGGTTAGCGTCTTCACGCTTTGATTGCAATATCCAGGTGCGGTCACAAAACATTTATATAAACTTTGACAGAACAGTTATCCTCTAAGGAAGAGAACACCTGTTTGGTTAGGTACAAAGCTGGAGTCGCGGCGTTGGCTACCTTTAAGCAGTGTTACTAAGGTATGGCTTGTGATCCGCAGACCTAGGTCCTTCTGGGCATCCACTTCCTGTGCTCGAATGCCCGTCGGACGATAGACCGTGTGATTTGGAGAACTGGTTCCACCGACGTTAAACACGTTAAACAGCAAAATCCATTCGCATAACCAGTGCTGGAGTCAGGTGAGGTTTTCCTGTAATCGTTCGTCGTCAACTTCATTCCGGGCAATACTCCAGATCTTTGTGTCATCCACAAACATTGCGACATCGCAATCAAGTTCACTGACGCAGTCGTTGTCATACATAATGAGCAGTGCAGGGCTGAGGACGGAGCCGTGTAGTACACCAAACTTAACAGCTACTTCGGCCGGCTGATGGTCCGTGAAATGGACAGTTTGAGAGCGAACAACTGGGAAGTTTCGAATCCACATCTGGAGCTTAACTCATACGCCAATACGACCGACTTTGTACAGAAGGCATGGTGAGCACACTATCGAGGACATTTTTGAAGACGATATTCCTTTATTCCTTCTACCAACGGTCCAAGTCAAGTGTTCTAAATAGTAGACCAAGTCTGTCACACAGACCTGCTTTTGCAGAATTTATGGTGGGTGTCGGAAAGCAAATGATTTCGTTGAAAGAACTGCAGCAATCGTCCTTTGATTACTTTTTACATAATTTCGCATCAAATATAAGTGAGGCTGACTGGTCTGTAACGATTAGCATAGACCCAACTTCCACTTCTATACACCGATTAATGCACGCAGATTTCTAACCGTCAGGCAGGCATACGGTCAGGTAGGATGCATGAAAAATCGTGGAGATTGCTTCTGCCAACTCAACGGCGTGGTTCTACAAAATCTTCGCCGGTGTCTCATCAGAACCTGGAGAGTTTGGTTCTCTAAGCCGCAGGAGATCTTTTAGAACCACTGATATAGTGGACTGAACGATCTCAATTATTGTGGTTGCTTCGAAGCCACTCGTATGAGGGTTCAATCAAGTTTCATTAGTAAAAACGGAGCGAAAATGTTCAGAGAGATGTTTTCAGTAAGGGTTTTCCTCTCAGCAGTCCCTAACAGGCGTATTGGATCTTCGTTTCGCGTGCCCTGTCTAATATAAGCGTATAATAGTTTCTGATTTTCTGAGTCGCAGTTAGGCAGATCCAGTCCAACTTCCATCTTTTTTTGAGAATAAGGCCCTTAGCTCGACTTATTTGGATTTTGTATTCGATTACGGATGTTGGGTACCATTTAGTAATTGATTTCTTCCATAGCCTCCGCTTTCTATTCTTTTCACTTTTTAAGGCCTACGAAAGTCACCGAGGTCTGTTTGTCAATCTCATTCCCAAAGCGGACGGTAAATACCAATGATCCTGTGCAGTACTCCTCGCAATTGTTTCCTTTTCTCGAATATGTTCCCAGCATGCACGGATTTCCACTCATTACGTGTGATATTACCCATTCATTTGGTCGAAATCATCACGCCGAATGTTCCTTCTGACTCTCGTAAGTTTCTAGGGCGTTTAAAAGGACTAGAACTCCCATTGTAGGAAGATGTGGTCTTTTTTCCTAAGGGGGTGGATATAATACCTCAACAATGTCGTTTTCATTATATTGGGAATGTCTATGTCGAAAAACCTCCATCGACGGTTCTCATACTAGGATTACGTCGCCCCTTTTTTATTTGAGTCCATGTACATGTGTTCAACTTTCTCTTGACATTTTCTTGTATACCTGGAATTTCCTGCACCCTGTTTGAGTGTGCTGAAATTCCTGCAGCAACTACTTTCGACTTGTGACATCGCGTGCTTCGATTTTGCTGTCGTTTGACATCGCTGGCTTGTAAATGCTTGTTATGTACGTTAACTCGTTTTGGTCAAGCGTGATAAATATCTGGCGATTTTTTCTCAGTCACACCTTGCCGGATGTGGATTCATTGGGTGACAAGCACTATCAACTAGGACCTACTCGAAACTTTTGGGAATTACCCGAAGATACTCTAGAGTTCTAATATAAACCCGGTACTGCAGAGTGTTTAAATTTTCGAGAGAATTTACAACAGCTCACCTATGCGTTTTTGCCGTTCTCTTTCTCAGTCACCATTCGTAGGTTAAACGCAACACCGCCCACTAAGAGCTAAGCTCTTCAAGTACATATTATTATTTTGCGGTCACATAGGGGCGTCCTGTTGTGGGTCAACGCAAAGGTCCTAGTAGGTCACGCACTTGCTTAAAGGTGTAGACTAGACCTAGAGTTCATTAACTAGCGCCAAACTCTCACTTGTGGCTCCCTGAAACTGGACTCTGCCCAGCGACCACACCCCGGTAACCAACTTGACCGGCGGGCTAAACCAGGTGAGGGTATCCGTGCGTGCGCCTGACCGCACGGTACCGCGGACCCCGCTGGTCCGGTGGATCTTCGCGTCCGCATCGTCGAGACGAGGCTCCGTCTGGACATTCGCAGGCGGCCACATGACAAACGAGCCCAAGTCGCCGTCTAATTCGGGTCGTTATCTAACCAACGCAAAGCCGTGGCTCATAGCAGAATTCGGCAGCCGTATGGGATAGCCAAACAGCCCTATCTAGGATGGCACTGCTCGCCCGCAAGGGCAGGGGCTAGAAAAGGTGCCCTACAAATTGCTGAAAGCCACGTTTTCTGTAGGTTGACCGTAGCCACAGACATAAACCACACGGTCGAAACAATCCAAACAGAAACAACGCGCATCCCTCTCTTCGTCTTTCTGTCTATTCTTCTTCTCGACCCTCTCGTCTCCGCCGCCCTGATCGCCGGGCTAGCAGGGTGAGTCCGCTCACTCTGGCAGCTCAAAATGTTCGTTCCCTTGTTGAAAATCCTTGGAGCAACCGGCCGGAACGGAGGAGGGCGCTAGTGGCTCGGCAACTGGCGCGCTACAAGGCGGACATCGTCGCACTCAACAAGACCCGGTTCTCCGAATAAGGTCAACTAGAGGAGGTCGGTGCCGGCTACGCCTTCTTCTGAAGCGGTCACCAAAAGGCAGAACGACGGAACGCGGATGCCGCTTTCGCCATCCGGAGCGACATCAAGAAACGACTGCCCTGTCTACCGCAGGGCATAAACGATCGCCTGCCTCTTCTGGGCGGGGGTGGGGCAAATTCGCCACCATCGTAAACACTTACGCTTCGCCAATGATCAGCTCTGACGCCGCAAGAGAATAATTCTACGATGACCTACACGCCCTCCTAGCGACCGTGTCGAAGGCGGATAAGTTGATTTTCCTTGGTTACTTCAACGTTCGTGTCGGCAAAGACCATGCCGCCTGGAGAGGAGTGTTCGGTCCTCATATTCTCAACGACTCCAACGACAATGGTCTTCCCCTTCTCCACACCTGCGCATAACATCGCCTCATTCTGACCAACAGCTTTTTCCGCCTTCAGACGCTAAAGTAGGCCACCTAGATGCATCCACAATCGCGTCAGTGACGCCTGCTGGACTATTTTCTACTCCGGAGGCGAGACCAACGGGGCTCGCTGGTGACAAAGGCAATTCCGAGTGCTGAGTGGTGGACTGACCATCGCCTCGTCATCTCGAAGATGCGCATTCGCCTACAGCCTCGCAGGAGACCTCAAGTTAAGCGACTCCCAGGTAAGCTGAATACTGCTTTGTTGTCTTTGCCAACTCAACACGTCCATTCCAGCAACAAACTAGCTCAACGGCTAGGCAACCTACCAGGCGCTGATGCCGCTGCCGCCGCTGACGAGAACGCCTCCGTGGGGAACCGATGGTGTTAACTGCGGGACACAGTCCAGTCGACGGCTCTGGCTGTCCTCGGTCGCGTACGAAGCAAGCATCAGGACTGGCTTGATGACAAAAACGCCGCCATCAGCAACCTGCTCGCCGAGAAGAACCGTCTGAACAAAGCCAGCGTCAGTCGCCCTACTGACGACAACAGAGAAGCCTTCGACCGTAGTCGCCGACTTGTGCGACAGCGGCTGCGGGAGATGCAGGAGGCCTGGATAGCTCGCAAGGCCGAGGAGGTCCAAGGATACACGGACCGCAACGAATAGAATAATTTTGTCCCCGGAATAATGGATGTATACGACCCCACAACCTAGGAAATTGCTCCTCTTCTCAGCGCCGACGGCAGTACCCTACTTACCGAGGAGACTGAAATCTTTCAGTGCTGGACCGAGCAATTCATAAGCATCCTCAACCGTCTCTCCGCCATCTCCGACGCCGCCATCTTCCGTCTGCCTGGAGTGGAGACCAACGCTGACCTCGACCTCCCGTCGCCTCTCCATAAAACCATCAGGGCCGTACAGCAGATCTCCAGTGGGAAAGCGCCCGGATCAGACGCGATCCCTGCTGAGGTCAACAAGCATGGGGTCTCCCAACTCATGGATCATCTGACGGCGCTCTTCCATGAGACGTAGCGTCAAGGAGAAGTCCCACAGGAATTTAAATGCGCCATAGTCGTCTATCTATATAAGCAGAAAGACCATCACCAAATCTGCGACAACTACTGAGGCATTTCCCTGCTGAACATCGCCGGGAAGATCTTCGCTCGCATTCTTCTCAACCGCCTGAACCACCATCTGGAATAAGGTCTCCTGACGGAAGGCCAGTACGGTTTCCGCGGTCATTGAAGAACCACCGGCATTATCTCCGCCGCCCACCAAATGCAGGGGAAGTGCCAGGAGATGTGGATCCATCTCTACTCTACCTTCGTGGGTCTAACAAAAGCCTTCGACACGGTGGATCCCGAAGGACTGTGAAAAAGTATGCAGAAATTCGGCTGTCCCGAACGATCCACCCAGACGGTTCGTCAGCTCTGCGGTGGAGTGATGGCGTGAGTCGCGGAAAATACTGACGCATCAGAAGTATTCTCGGAGACCAACGGAGAGAAGCAGGGCTGCGTTCTAGCGCCTACCCTATTCAGTCTTATGTTCTCTGTCGTGTTTATGGACGCCTACTGTGACGAACGCCCCGGGATCCGTGTCACCTACAGGACGGACAGTCAAATCTTTAATCAGCGGCGGATGCACTTCCAGTCGTGTGTATACGCGACATCCATCCATGCATTTCTCTTCGCCGACGACTACGCTCTCAATGCCGACTCCGAAAGGGACATGCAAAGGAGCATGGACCTCTACGCTGCTACCTGCGGCAACTTCGGCCTGGTAGTCAATATGGAGTCTACGGTAGTGATGCATCAACCGCCACCCCACGCTACGTACGTGGCACACCAAATTAACTTGAACGGCGCCCAACTGCAAGCCGTGGACAATTTCACCTACCTAGGCAGCTTCCTCTCGCAAAACAAAAATCGACGATGAAGTGGCCCGTCTGATTTCCACAGCCAACCAAGCCTTCGGCCGTCTGCAAAACACAGTTTGGAATCGACACGGTCTCCACATCCGCACCAAACTGAAGATGTATAGAGTGGTCACCCTGCCGACGCTGCTGTATGGAGCAGAGACATTGACTGTATACAATAAATAGGCACGAAGCCTCAACCACTTCCAGCTCAGCTCTCTACGATGGATATTGGAGCTAAGGTGGCAGGACCGGATCCCGGATACGGACGTACTGGAACGGACGGGAATCCTCAGCACCTAAGCCATGCTGGGACAACTGCAACTGCGCCGGAGCGGCCATTTGGTGCGCATGGGCGACGAGCAACTACCCAAACGACTCTTCTATGGAGGTGTCGCCACGGGTTGCCGCCGACAAGGAGGCCAAATCCGGCGCTACAAGGATACCCCGAAGATCTCCCTAAAACGCCCACAAATAGATCCCGCCTACCAGGACCGACCGACCTGGAGGAGAGCAGGGAAGACAGGCGCAGCGATCTACGAAGTCAACCGCATCACCGCGACCAAAGTCCAACGCGGAGCTAGTAAATCTTAACTGCCCCGACTCGCAATGCCAATAATTTACAGCATCCAACCTGTCCACGATGTTGGTGGCCGCTCCGGACACAAACTGGTCTTATGGGTGCCGACTGCAACACCCGGATGACACCACCTGGTGTTCCTTGTTCCTTGCCTTGCTCCCCACGTCCAAAATCAACAGTGACCGCACTCCTGAACCCCTATTGCCATCCTCCTCCATCGCCCCAAACATCCCCTGCTGCGGCTTCTGCCCCACCGCCACTGCACTCAATTTTAACACCGAAGAACTTCAACCTCGTCACCGCCACCACCAGTGATGTGAACTCGACCCGTACTTTTCCTCATTGCGACTGCACCTTTATTTCACGCATCGGCCTGGCTGGTCACTTGCGAATCCATCACACAGAGGCTGGAAAACCAGTGCCCAGAACACCAACCTACACTTGCCGTATCCGCCTCCACTGTCCACATTAGCCAGTACATTCACTCACCGCATGAGCCTGTTAGGCCACATGCGCATTCATGAAAACCTGCGGTAGACAAGCAGCGTCTACACCACACCATCAGCTCTTTCCCCACATGCAATACACAACATTATCACCAACCACAAGCATTCAACTGTCACCTCCCACGCAAGTGGGGAGTTTGCGTCTCGGCTCCGTCGTCAAGCTGCTTCTTTGTTGCATGTGTGATTGGAGTCTGAGGCTATCTAGACGCTTCAAGCGCTGTGGCTTGGAAGGCTGCCGACTGACTCCCCAACTCACTCCACACAGCCTGCCCAGTTGTGTGAGTTTGTGTGGAGTGGCGGACTTGTTGGCTAACAGTCAGGCTGAAGCGGTTTCTTCTCAACGGGACTTACAGCACTCTTACGCATGTGAAATGTACGCCTCTCAACCGCAGTTGCGTGAAATCCTGGTGCTCGTGTTTTGGGGGCCAGGCCGTGCATGTGACGCGCGCAGACAAGATCATTAAATATGTCACCTACTATGCCCGATTCCCGCACCTGTCACGTGACCGGCTCGGACAGTGACTGAGGCCTGGGAATCTGAAGGGAGAGTAAGGTCAACGACTCAGCACATTTTCCTCACTATAAACAAAGTGACGCGCTTGAAACTCTCACGTTGCGCTAAAAGCCGTGGCCTTGAAGGTTGCCAACTGACAACCAGTGTTATATGTTTGTGTGGAGCGTCCGACTGGTGGTCTAAGATTCAAGCTGCAATAGCTCCTTCTCAATGTGGCCTTTATGGTCCCCCCACCCAGTGGGATCTGAGCCAGGCGTGATGGCACGCCTCGGTGCGGCTACGGCCGCGCCAGTCCCTTTTGTTTACGGTTAAAATCCTTGTCATTTGCTGCATGAACCAGAGGGTGTGGAGTGGAGCGCCAAGATGCAGGCTCAACCGTGCCCTCCACCTGCGCCCTCCCCCGCCTCCGGTCTTCTTGACTATGTCTTGACACCGGGTCCAGGGGGGGGAAGAGGAGGGAGTGCGGTGGAGTCTAAGCAAGTCTACTACTACTATAAACTAATTCACGCACAAGTCACCGTCCCTGCTCCACCTTGCTGTGGAGCACACAAGGTGAACATTGTCGGCAACGACGGTTGAACTATCGTGTTTTTGACCGATGGACTTATATTCAAGCTCTGATGGCTTCTTTTTAATGGCACTCCCGCACATATGAGATCCGAGTCGTCTAACCCCTTTTGTGTGTAATACTATTGCGTGCGTCTGATGGATCAGTTTGTGCATGTGGCACGCGCAGATAGTCTCCATACTTTGTCAGCCAGTGCGCCCAATTCCACTTACGGCGTCAGACAGCTGATCGGCTCGGACAGTGGAACTGTGCGCGTTAGCGTGTTGAGAGAGTGATGTCGAAGGTCTCAGGGCATACCCAGTCTGTCAATTAAACAGTGCATTTGGGAAAATGACGGAAGCCATTGAAAAGTTCCCTTAGATAATACGGTCTGCATGAAAAATAACTAAGTTGTAAATATTCGCAGGTCACTTTAGTACGTGAAATGCATATGGCTGGTAATGAAAAAGGAGTGTTAAAAAGGATGGAGAATTTGCGAAATAACAGAGTACAACACATCCACTGCACGTGCACGCAATGCGTTCAGCAATATCAAAGTTAATGTAAATAAAGAGGATTATTGAAATCGCGATAGTAGCATGTTAATGACGTTTGGGGAATTCTGACCAAACTTTGGCAGGCGGATATCCAGACGCCCCTTAAACTCACGCACGGTGGATGAATGCACGGCATAAATACGACGGTAAACAATGCCGCTGACGAATGACTCTCTGCCAGAAAAAGTAGAAGCGTCGATTGATGTGCCGCAGTCCTTGTCGTGTGAGATTTGTTTTTGGCGCCACTTCGAAAACGTTTTTCCAGTCCACATCATGATCGGGTCCACTTAACAAGTGAGACGTTATTATAAGGTCTTCACTGTCCCACCTTTACTGGCGGAAGCTTAACGCGGTCAGACGCTGCTCCTAAGACAGTTTTTTTGCGTCAAGAGATATGCTTTGTAGCATTTGGTGTACACTTTCAAGAATACCTATGTCTCCTCTAAGCCACGGCTGCCAAGCTTACATTCCAACTGTGGCCGCGCAGATCCTCCATGTGCTTTGCTGAAGATATCCGCATCCTGCTTTACAAACGTTTTGCGTTTCGCAATCATAGTTGAAAATCCCGTACTGTGACTTTGAAACACTGCGTCATTCCGTTCAAACCGTCTTTAACAAATACCCCAAGATCTTTTTTGCACTATAAACAATCTGACACGCTTGAATCCATTGGTGCGCTAAAAGTTGTGGCTATGGAGGTTGCCAACTGACGGGGTAGCTTGGCCCTCCTCTGAGGACAGAGAGTCAGGCTGCAATGGCTCCTTTTTAATGTGGCCTTTATGGCAATTCCCCCTAGTGGGGTCCGAGTTGGTCCCTCTTTTCCTGTTGTGTGAAATCCTGGTCAGTGTGTCTTGAGGATCAGGGAGTGTGGAGGAACGCCTTGTTTCGGGCTTTCTTCTCGCCAGTCACCTAGGCCCTCTCCTGCCTCCGCTCCTC